ATTATTTTTCATTTAACAACAACAAATTTTGTCCATTTTAAGAGATGCGAAATATAAAGGCACACAGACAGAAGTTCTAACTAATGCCATATAATGTACTATAATAAACAGTAATTATTATGATATTATGATAGCTAGCTCTAATAAAAACTAGATTTAAAATCAAAAGTCTAGACCCATTATCTGATATTCTCATCCACTTTGAATACCTACATCAGTTCAATTGAATTACCTACAGACTGTGACTAGGTACACGAGCGTTCCATTGAGTCAAGCGTCCAATGCAAATGGAATTGAAATAATTACGTGTGCGTTTGGCTTCTCTAGTAGGTATTGTGATGTTTAAAACTGTGATAATTATGAAGGAAATATAAATTTTTTACAGACTTTTGGGGAAAAACATCACTGTTAAAAATGTAGAAATACTAGTAATATGAAGCTCCATATAATTAATTAATTAATGGCTTATTATAAACTGTTTTACCATGGAAATGAGATATTTTCCGACGGTAAGAAGTACCTACCTAAGTTATAAAAGTCTTAAGTCCTTTAACTATATTTTCTATAAAAAGGTATAAAAATAATAATTAAAAAAAACATAATTTAAAATACTTTGATTTTTATTCATTATGAAAAATATATAAGAAAATAACAATTATTATAAACTTTTTATTAAACACAAAAAAATCAGAAAAATAACAAAATAACAGAAAAGATAGGTAGTAGGTACCTAACATATATACAAGAGGCGGCCTTATAACTAACCCAGTGAATTGTTCCAGGCTACCTTTAGTTGTAGGAAATAGCAAACTAAAACACACAAACATACACACATATGACAAAAAAACTATTGAAGTTGAAGTGGAAAACTTCATCGAGAATATTCTGAAAAAAATACATAATAGGTAGGTACAACGTAAACTTAAAACAGTACTTAAAGAGCCAAAAAGAACTTCAGATATACGATCCGGAAATAAATCTATTTACATTTTTTCTTTCACTAACGCTTATCGGACAGCTCTCAAGTTCACAACTTTACTATCTTCGACTTCGAATAAGCCTTTAAGCCTTTCACACCACTATTATATTTAGTACTCCTTCAAGCTGAGACGAGTGAACGGATTTGGTGGTGTTTAGTGCACAGATAGATTGTATCCTGGAGTAACACGTTGCTTACTGTTAGTAATAGAACTTGTCAATCGGTGGCGTATTATAATCTTAAAAAGCACCTAAGGACGCATCCTGACAAAGCCAGGATAAAGTCGCTAGTATAGCGATGCCCATACAAAACTTAATTAAAATTTGACCACAATTTGCTTTCCTCCTGTTATTATAATATGCTTTAAGAAACAGTATTGTTCTCTTTTTCAATTATTTTAACCCAATTTAAAAGACGATCTGCCAGTTATTCTGTCCTGTACATGACAAGTCTTGATTCATTCGACTTTCATATGAAATCATATTTATCACTAGCTTTTGCTCACGGCTTTGCTCACATATTATAACGATAAAACATAGACTATATTCAAAGTAGTGTTTATCTACAATTGATCCCACGGGGACCCTTTCACCTATTCCAGAATATAAAACACTTTGAAACTCATACTCTATTGCCAAACAAAATCTCCTTAAAATCAGTTTAGTTATTCCAGAGATTAGATAATACACACAGAAAAAAAACAGGTACCTAAATGGTATCTAGTTTGTGGTAACGTACAATTAAGCATTTCAATTCAATTCCATTCAATTCTTTAGTTTCGTGGCTTCTAGAAATCTTTGGGCACAACAATTAACCGTTTGTACTCAACATGGGGTTATTTTGACATCACATACTGATTTATCGTATCGCAACCCCACTATATAAATGTCTTGTTAGCTGGTACAGTAAACCGTGATATCGTACGTGGACAAGTGACGTGTGGCACTGTTTGATCTGCATGAAGTGGCTCAGCTCTCTGACACGATGTAATCCAAACGTAGTCAAATACAGATGGTTTGTAGTGAAATGCGACCAGTGAGAGTTAAGGCGCAGGACCGACGGCTTTACGTGCTCTCCGAGGCACGGGGGTGAAACACCGCCAACTTCCCAACTCCGGGCTGTTACTGAGGCTTACTTATACAGAAAGACTCAATAACTAAACTTGGCCCGACCCGGGACTCGAACCCAGGACCTCCGGGTGTGCAGCCGTACATGCTAGCCACTACACCACGGAGGCAGTTTGTTTGTTTTGTTTGTATCATATAGACTAATTTACCGATTACCAACCGGATGGAGCTTCGAGGGGAAATTTATCCTACGAGTTATTAGGTAGGTAAGGGTATTTAACCTGTATCAGTATATCAAGGCAAAATAACTTGGAATATCAACCTACATATTCTCAAAATATTTTACCAGCACAGGTATCAATTATAATTCAGTGGTAGCCCAGTGGTAACGCGCTCGCTTGGGAAACCGAGTGAAGCGGGTTCAAATCCCGGGTCTCGTATCTCTAACATTTAACATAATGCCTTTCATAAATTGGTTTAAAATAGTAAATCCGATATTTATTGGGACTGTCAATAAAATCACGCACGCAAAATCACGGTCGTACGCAGTCGAGCGTTTCAACGGATAACGGAACTGAGGGCCGACTTTGTAATTGTATCGGTTATATCTCAATGTAGGTGTATTTTATAAACGTCGTCTAAGGTCTCATGCTATCCTTATTTCTTTAAGTACACTTTGTGCAAGTAAAAGCAGAATAGGAATAGTCTATGGCATTAATTATAGTAAAATGAGTCGTATGGCGGAAGAAAGAGAATCGTGCTTAATAAGCAGGCGACACAGAGCCGGTATTAACAGGTCGCATGCTTAATAAGCAGGCGTCACAGATATACAAATTAGTATTATTTTTAAGCACTTTATGATTTTTTTAATAACAAAAATCAAATAGTGGTGTATATTGTGGTCAATATTTACCTTGCGTTTCTTTCCTCTGGGGAAATTGTAGTGCCCACAAAATGTTGTTTATAATATTAAATTACAGTATTTAGAATGACTAAGTAATTAGGTGATTATACCTACTGCTTGGGAATCATCCACAATGCACAATGTGGATAAATGACAAATCAAAAGAAAGATTCTAAGGTTATGTTAAGAAGTTAAAGTATGTTTTTTTTTAATAACAAGCAATTTATGAAATCTTTTTGAATGACAAAAAGATGATTAATGATAAGCTCAGGAAAATAACACGACTAAAAACAACGGATGTACAGAAAAAAATAAGCGAAGTTTTCCAGCCACGGCTGTATTGGGGAATAAATGGGACCAATCTAGAAGTATAGACTTTCAAACAAAACAAAAATTGTCGAAATCGTTTAATAAATGACGGAGTTCTGAGGTAACAAACATAAAAAAAACATACAGCCGAATTGAAAACCTCCTCCTTTTTGAGGAAGTCGGTTGAAAAAACCTCCGATTAATCTGAATTTTGGTATACATATAGATTTCGTCGTCCTGATAACGATCATGGTAGGTATTTATATTATCCGCAAATTTTATTTTCAAGGTCAAATCTAAGGGAAGTCGATTTTTTGTAATGTTTTTCGCATTTATTGCGAGAAATATTGATTTAAGAGTAAAATGTTTTTCAAAAATTTTGTAGGCCATAAAAAGGTTGATATTTTTCGTTTAATACGTTTTTCGTGTTTCTTAATATAAACACACGTGCTATCGTTGTTTTTTGTGCAAATGAGTATGTAATTGTAATTTCTTTTTATTTTTACACAGACATGGCACAAGTTTTAGGTATTTAGATAAATTCACTAATCATAAAAAATCTATAAATACTATTACATCTTTATCTTTTCTAAAAATCAAATATATTTTTGTGCATAAATATTTGCAACGCCATCTATATTCCGCACTAAAATCTACTAAGTGGTAAAACAAACTCTTTTGAATGTAGTTAGCATAATATCCCTTAGATGGCATTAAGTATATAATATTATATCGTACAAGTGTCTATTAAAAAAAAAAATTGCGACCATGTTCACTTTAAAACTCAGCTTTCGATGTGTTAATGTGGGCTTGACGAAGGTAATTTATCCCACATCTTTTTTAGCTGTTCTAAATTTCTTCACTCTCTGGACACTTCTCTCTCCTAAAGGCCCTTGTGCTATAATATTTCTAACATCAAAACAATAAAAACTATATTTTCAGATTTTTTCGCGGATTTATTTTAATTTTTGGTTCCGTTTTGAATGCTTTAATAACAATCATGGTCGCGGGAGAGACTATATCATCCAATTAATGTTAATTGTTTGTTAAATCTGGTGGTCAGATCATTTTGTAGAATTATATGTAAATACATATATATCAAATGTAACAATATCATATTGTAAATTATCTAATTTATAAATACTAACATCTGCTTTTGTGTGTATCATATTGTATATATTTTAATGTGACTTCTTGTTTGTTTTAGGTCCAGATAAATTTTTTTATGGGACTAAGGGGGCAAACGGGCAGCAGGTTCACCTCATGGAAAGTGATCACACAAACATACAATAAATTGCTCTATTTCATATTTTATCAGACTTGTGTGAATAATTCTTTTTTAACCGGTTAATACCTTATCCCCATCATGTCTTCTCCATTCTACACGACAAATTGGCGAAGTAAAGTGACACGCCTATAATAAAGAATTGAATACAACTCAAGTTTTAAAAGAAACAAACGTCTAATATATAAAATTTCCATGTCATAATGTTAGTTCCGTACTCCTCCGAAACGGCTTTACCGATTTTTACCAAATTTTATATGCGTATTCAGTAGGTCTGAGAATCGGCTACTATCTATTTTCCATACCCCTAAGTGATAAGGATAAGGGTGGTCCTCCCAGACCCCACCCCAGGGACGAACCCGAGCGGAGCGAGGGTGAGTCGCTAGTAAGTAGATAAAATTAAGGCAATAAAACAATATTAAAAATATATAACTTTTATCATATTTTTTTCGTTTAAAAGTATTTTTCTAGTGGTTCACCGAGTATTTGTTCTAGAGTTCGAACAGCATTCTTAGTAGCGTTCTCAATTTTTTGATCGCCGTCCTCTAACAATTCTGCCAGGAACGGTACACTTTCCGCTAGTAAAGGCAACCAGTTTGTACCCAATTGGGATGCCATAGCTACGAGACAATCTAAGCCGGCAAGCCTGAAATAAACCAAAAACATATCATTTACGATGAATTTGTCAAAGGAATTAGTGAGAAATGCTCAAATTTCTACTGTATTATTATTATTTTTTAATATTTTCTTAGCCTTAAAAAGGACCTATTGCTTTTTAAAAAATATAATCACTTAAATTACATTGTCACCTGAAGATTTTATCCTTCTTATAATTTTAAATCAATAATAATGACAAGGAGAATGAACTTTACTTTGGCTTTGTTTACATGTTTACTTAGTTATAAATATAAATATATATATTGGGACATTAACGAACAGCACCATCTAGTTCCATGGTAAGCTACGAGTCTTGTGTTATGGATACCAGAAAGTTGATACACCACACATAGGTATATATCTTTAAATACGTACATATTACAAATATAAACACCCATGACTGGAGTACAAATATTAGTACTCATAACATAAATGAATGCCCCCAGCGGGACTCGAACCCGCGATTTGCCAGCAAGTAGGGTCACTACAAACAGCTAAACGTGTCGTAGTTATTTTCTTAGTTACAAGAAGAACCTTAATAGCATATACTTATTATATAATATGAATAAAAAATAAACATACCTAATCTCCGCATCATTATGTCTCGTTTTCAAAAGAACTTGATAGTTCAGAAGCTTCCATAAAGAATCATCAGCGGTAGCCACCGCGAATTGAGATATACACGGAATTATCAACTCTGTGGCCCTCGTTTTAAGACTCGAAATCCCTCCCACACTATTTTCTAATTGATCCACAACAGGCTGCATGAGTGTTTCAAATCTATCCTTATTGATAAAACTCTGGCTATCGTATAAAAACACTATATGTAACGTTTTTATTATATATTTGATAAGCAAAATGCATTTGTCATCAGAGTCAAAGTAGAGTTCCTCAGTTTTGCTATTGTTACAAGCATCTAGCAGTTCTGCGGCGTTTTTAATAAAGTGACCAGCGAATAATACAAATAGACCTTTTAATTTCTCTGCAATTGCACTGCTTAGCCTGAAAACAAAATACATAAATATTTATTTAAAAATATGTTAAGCAGATACTTAGATATAAAAGTAATGTGTCATTGGAGGGATATTGGAAATTTCTTGTTTTCTGAACTAACCATAAATCTTGGATGCAATATTATTTAAAATAATAGAGCATTGTAACTTTAGTCTATCATCAAAAAGAATTAAATAAGCTATTACATACCTATAGAACGTTATCGTTCTATCTTTACGTCCTTCTATATTCGTCCTTATTGCCCAATCGTAGATCTTGAAATAGAACGGTCTGAAGTTAGTTTCAGATAACTTCAACACAAGGCTTACTATCGCTTTTACCACTTCTTCTTCAGCTGAATCAATGATACTTTCGTCAATATTTTTGTCAGATGCTTCTCCTCTTAACTGCAGAGCCGATAAAAAGAAAGATGTCAAATCTTGCTGTAATGCTGCAAAATCTGCTGTCGTCACATTTGCAAAACTATCCGCCAAAACAGACATCACAGGACCGACTGCATCAAAGTTTTCTTTTTCCAGAATCATTTGATGAGTTTCATTCGCCACAGGTATCAAAACCCTGGGCGGAATCGAACTGGCTATTTTCTTTTTAATATGTATCAATTTCGACACAATCGCTGAAACTTTACTGCACTCTTGGTCGGCGAATTGCCATTTACCCAATAATATCGCATATTCGTAAAGGATTTTTTGCAAATATGGACTCAAAAAGAGCGGCACGCTTTCTACTATTTTGGATATAGCTGTGACAGTACTTAACAACACCAACTCAGGTGTTTCAGATTTACGCTGCTTTTTCAAAACTTTAATTAAGGCTGGCATGAACTTTCTTAAGCTTCCCAATGCATGTGCTTTCAAATTTCCACATAGATCAGCCAAACAAAGAACGACAGAAGCCATCACGTTGCCAGCTATATTTGAATTGCATGTATATTCTGTTACCGTTTCTAGAACAGGCTTGAAGGGTTCAGGGTTTTCTGAAGCCAACATGCGTGTTAATAGTTTAAGAGATAAGAGAGCTGTTTGTTGGTTGATCTCCAATTCGAATGCCGCATTCTCGTCTTGATTTTCAGGGGTATTTTCTATTGTTTTTACTATGTCTAACAAAGCTGGAAGCAATGAGTATAGAAGACTTTTATCTACATCAGTGAACATTTCGGGACTAAACTGTATTTTGGAGTTTAATAACTCCATAGCTTTTCTTCGCACTGTTTGTAAAGTGTGTTTTAATAGGCCTCGAACGACTGACAAAAACATTGGTGCAGACAGTAAGTTATTAGTATGGTCTAGTAAATCGTAACTGTGATGCAACATCACGCGCCAGTACTTTGCTGTCTTTTCATCTCCAGCTTTAGATATGCTTTGGATATAAGTTAGAATGTTAATAATAAATTGTTTATAGTGATTTTCCATACATTTTATATCTACTGCTAGACTACTGTGTTGAATGAATCTTGAAGATGATAAACAGGTGTTCATGAAAGTAATAATAATATATTTATAATGTCTTAACTGTATAGGTGTGTGACCATTGACGCTAAATATATCACTAGGGTCGACATCAGTTTCCATAGAATTCTCATCCTTTTGTAAGGGCAAAGTTTTCATATAAATTATTAGCTTTATGAGATTCTCCAAGCATATTTCTGGTGGAAATTCAAGCATTATACTTTGTCCGAAATCAAGTCTATTTATCGGTGATTCCTGCTCTGCTAAACTTCTTGGTGGGTGTTTATCTTTCTTCTTGTTTTCATTACTGTGAGCAATGTGTGTTTCAAGCAATAGCGCAAGGAAAACCCAAAGGAACTGACTAGGTCCTAGAGTCTCGATAAGCTTCTTGTAAAGTGGCAATCTTCTATGTTCCGGCACATGTAGAACAACATCTGCAAATATACGCAGTACTGGAACTACGCGTCTTTGTAACTGCTGAAGTTCTTTTTCAGTTAATTCGTCAACATTCCTATCCAATTTAACTAAAATGGGTACAAGTGTTTCGATAATTTTCGTAATAATCTGGAAACTGTATGCGTCATCGTGTCTAAGCACAGATGACCCCATAAAAGTGAATATTTCCATAGTATGATGTAGAACTTGTTCAGGCAACATATAGGCAGCGTGTGATAGAAGAATCAAAGCATGGTGCTGTGTTTGGGGATTTTGGGTTCCTCTTATACATTGCACAACTGTTTCGACATCAAATATACTTTTAATCGATCGCATCTGTTCTTTATCGGCATCATCCACAAACTTTTTACAGAAATACCAGAGTGACGATAAAATTAGCTGTTTCGTGTATTCAACGTGAGATTGCTCTTCGAATCTTAAACACTTATTTAGCAATTGGAATAATATGGTGACAAATTGGTTATCAACAACCATTTTTTTTTTACTTTGAACATATTCCAGTAGTGTGACACCAAGTCGCCACTCATCCGTTTCAGCCAATTGGTAAGAAAGCATAGAGACAGTAGCTTTTTTCTTTTTTGAAACATTGGCTATGGGATCAACTACATTCAACATTCCGTCGAGAATAGGTTTGAAATCTTCGAATTTGATATTTATTTTTTTCATAGTTTTTGAAGCTACACTCGATATTGTAGGATTATTACTAAATGTACCAGCAAATGCAATAAGATAGATTAAATCCTTAGACTTCTCGTCGGGAATCTTTGCGAATACTTCTTCACTAATCTGTTTCATTATTAAGACGCTTGGACTCACATATTTTAGATCTTCAGTGAGAATACATTCTCTATATTCTTTAAGCCCAATCTCAATTGAATTCCACACTTGCTCTTTATTGAATGTCGTTATCGTAGTTTCATTGATTTGTTCATAAACAGTTCTAATTAAGTTAGATTCATAAATATCAAACGTAAACTTTTTATCCAGTTCATTTTGTTTTATAACCTTTTCTAAACTATTTAATGATGGTACAATGTGAGAAAACATTTGCACATTATTTATATTTGATAAAACTTTCACTAGCGTTGATTTTATGTGAGCTGGTGTGTCAGTAATGAGTATAGACGTTAATTTTAATAAGCAATTTTTTCTAAATATTTTGGTACCGATTGATTGTTGGGTCAGTATTGTCTTTAAAACATGTGGTAATTGTTCGTGATCCAAAATGAGCTCCTCTTCATGCGAGATTAATTCCTTTAAGAGTTGCATATAAATTAAATTTTTCTTTGTGTCTTCGCGTAAAATATTCTTTATAAGGCCTATCACGCATTTTCTTACTGGAGCTAGGGGGTTATTTAAATTAAATAGTATCATTAGAATGAGTACATCGGAATCGTAGATCCAATCACTCGTTTGAACGGCAAGGAAATTTATCATTAATTTTAAAGTTCTCAATTGGATTTCTGGAGTGAAAACGTCTTTAGGATCATTGGCATATAATATATGCCCGCTAGCAATGTTTGCTAGGAATTCAAATTTCTCCTTTGGAGTTTTGAGCAATATATCAAGCAGTTTCTTAAGCAACTTTGCGTAATTGTCAGCATATGATTGTATCCCACATCCTGTTATAAAAATTTCGTACAAACGTCTAATAAGAACAGTTTCAGGGTTCTTCAACAAATTACACCATGGCTTAGTAATAGCAGCAGCTTTGACTTGCTCTGTTATTTTCGAGAAGATATATTCCAATCCTTCAAATAAAATTTGATCTTTTCTAGCAAGTTTTATGAATTCCACAATCACATCAGACGAGAATTTGGAATTTTCTGAACTCGGTACTATCGCTCTACTTTCAACCGATTCTAGGACTAAATTTAATATATCTGTAGTGTCTTGGATAGCGCCTCTTTTTAGCGAACATGATTTTAGTAGTACGTAAAAGCAAATATCTAGAGTGCGTTCTTTATTTAAAAGATTAATATCGAGTATCTCATCGAAATTTATTGCCATATCAACGAATAATATTTTAAAAACCATTTGGTTTAAAACTTCATAATTATCCTTTATAGAATCATTTAAGCCAGACATTTTGTTTTTAAGTCCAAACTTTTCACCCCATGGAGATTTTAGTATTTGATAAGTTAATTCAGCCGACTCTTTATTTTTTGGGAAAAAGTAAGGCATTATGGCTAAAACAATCTCATGATTAACTGGAAACGTATGCAAGGAACAGAATTTCTGTATTGCAATTCGTCTTATATCTCTCCACTTTTTGGAATCTTTATTAGCGATGTAAACGAAAACACTCGTCAAATCAGCTTCATTCAAAATTTCTTGTAAATTATTGTTAGGCATATCTAGAGCTGCCAAAACCACATCCGCATTATCATCTTTTAGTCTATTAATTACAGAATCTTTCACAAACTCTATGTTTTCAATTTTCAATGACTGAAATTCTTTTGCTATGTAATTAACTGCTTCGATTCGCAAATCTGGGTTAATGTGATTTAAATTTTCAAATAAGTATGTTCCTCCAACTTTATGAGCAACTGCGGGTTTAAAGCCTAATACTTTCGATAGCTGCGCTCTTTTCTTTGGCGACAATTTGCTATCAGAGCCCATTTCTTTTTTAATAACTTTATCAAATGTATCTGGGTATTTGGTTTCGATATTTTTTAAGAACTGTGAATACCAAGCCATTATTTTATTAGAAAAACCGTTATCGTCATCAATAATTTCTACATCGCTCTCTTCATCATCATCCTCTTTTGAAGACTTTAAGGCATTGAGGATGCAACTGAAAAAAATTATTAAATAAATTAGTACCTTTTACTTAAGTTCATATTTTTAAACAAAGTATATCTACTAGTATACTAATATTATAAAGAGGTAAGGTAAGGTTTGAGAGTTTGTGACGTTGTAGGGGGTAATCTCTGAATGTACTAAACCGATTTAGATGAAATTTGGTAAGAAGATAGTTTGAGACCCTGGGAAAGACATAGGATACTTTTATCCCGGAAATCATCCCTTAAGGGGGTGAAAATGGGGATGTAAATTTGTATTGGGAATTAAGCTAGGGACAAACCCGAGCGAAGCGAGGTTGTGTCGCTAGTATATCTATATAAATAAAACAAAGTTGGGTTTGTTACAACACTTATAACTCGAGAACTGCTGGACCAATTTTTATGATCTTTGTTTTGTTGCATTTTTGTCCAGCCCGAAAAGCATAATAACTTTTAAAACATCAGAAAAAATCACAAAGAAAAAACTATTCCATACTAAGCGTTAAAACTTATAGGGACGAACATGAGCGAAGCGAGAGTGAATCGCTAGTTATTGTATATTGCTAGTTTTATTGCAAACTTTATGAAGGTTACTAACTAGGTATGCAATTATAGTTCAAATTATAATGCAATTAATTTAAAAATAACTTAACTTGAAAATTTATATTAGTGATAATTAAATTTTAAATAGAATTCTGTTATAGAAATGTATGCACCAACACTATATATATATTACAGTTTTTTTCATTAATCATTTATGTATAAAACTTTCAATAACAGCAAAATATATAAAAAAAATATATTGTTTATAAATTTTAAGCTTACTGTATAATTGTCTCCGGCTGTTGATATTTGAGGTCAACTTCATCAATAAACAATTCAGGCAGTTGACGAAATCTTCTGAAATCCTCAATATTTCTTTGAATTATTGGCAATATGCTGGATAGAAATACAAGGCTGAATGTTTGAATACTAATTCTTAACTCCACAAGCTTCTTCAAATTCATGCATAAAGTGTTCATGACATCAATTGATATATTACCAAAGATATCTCTAGACATCTTCGTTAAATGCTTCTGATTTGTGTAAATTAAATTTATAAGTAAAACTACATCATATGTTAGGTCAAACTCGGTAGTAAACATTCGAACGATCAAATCATTTATTGTTTTCCTTTTAAATGTTGCCTTAGTGGATAAATATCCTAAAACTATATGAGAAGACGATCTGAAATCAATGATTGGTGATTCAAGGCCTTCTATCAATGTAGGCAGCAAAGCGTTGATAATAGATTCATTAACATATTTACTCGTGTTCATAGTACCTATTGCAGTTGAACAGAAAAATGCATAAACTGTATTCAATTGAGTTGCCCTTTCCCCGAATTCCATGACATATTTTAAAGTACATTTTGCAATAAATTGCAATGTTGATATGTTTGAAACACACTGATTATGTAGAACTTGCTTTGTTAAGGATATTCCACGTTTTTGGATAGATTCTAGCCAGTTCCATCTGTTTGAAGTTGACGATAGTTGAAATAACTGGATGAAACGCACAAATATTTTTGTTTCATGGTATGGCAGTATAAGCATCATAATTGCATCTTGATTATATTGATGTATGCTATATCTGTTTACCAACCATTCTAAAGCTTTATGAGATGACTGTAGCAAGAAGTATGGTGATAGTTGTATAAGGAACTTTTCAATTGTTTGGTCCAAATTTTGATTTACCTCTTTGCTCTGAACTGCACGTTCAAAATCTTTTGACGAAATACTAAATAATGAGTCTTCGTATACACGAAATCCTTCATACAAAGCAATTAACTCCTTAAGACCACTAATGCCAATTTCATAGAATGTGTCGCGATCCTTTAAGGCAGCCTCTTTGGGATCAAAAAGTAATGATGCCTTTTTCTTATCATCTTTATAAATTGATGATTGCGGCACTGATAGCTTTTGTAATTGTTCCGCTAAAGATGTAGAAGCCATTATTGCATTTAAGTTCTACTTGTGGAACCTGTGAAAAAGTTTACTTATATAGACAAACATAATATTTAGTTATATAGAAAATGTAATTGTACTATTCATATTACTAACCTCATTTATATGTAACTTTAATTATTTTATTTTTGTTACTTGGAGATAAATATCGGCAAAATTATAACCACAACTTAGTAAACACGTGTTAATGACATATGTTCATACTTATTACTTCATTCCATGGATGACAAATACTTCATTCATCATTGTAGCGAGTTCATTGTTCATTCATGATTCAACCTTAATGTCAAAGTCATTTTTTTGCAATGTTGCTCTTAAACATTTATTTTGCTTTACTGTAATAAAATATCACTTTAATATTTGACACAACAAAATTTCTAAATGGTCCGTTTTATATGGAACTACATTTAAAATTATAATAGCATATACAATAGTAGACATATTTTAAGACCTAGTAACCCAAAACGCTATATAACACTACAATCTAACTTCGTTTTCTATACATACTTAATACTTTGCACTTTTTTACCTATGATAGGATCAATTTAATAAAATCTAGGGATAATATAATGACTTTTGGTAAAATTTCAGCCTTTTGTAGTCCATCGGCGTGGTTTGGGACGTAGGTGAGTGTTGGAATTGATTTGTGGTAAATATTTTTTAAGTGGATTAATAAAAGTACTATTCAGAAAAGAAGAGATATCAAATTAATAACTTTATTTTTACAACTATTAAAGCTATACAAATAATATATAATTAGAATTTATATTATATATTTTTTCTTATTTTTACAAAATACCACAACGTAACAAACATGTTTTCACTTTGTATGGCAATACTTATTTATCCATTGAAATTTTTTTTACGTCAACGTCATTTCAATTTTCATTCGATAATCGAATATCGTGAACGTGAGTCGACACCGACAGTAGGATTGCGTATTTCTATTTTGTGAAATTATGTGTTTATTGTTTACACGAATAAAAAATTAATAATGCGCAAATTAATTTTTATTTCATAAAATCTGTTGAGATATTTTTACGTGTAACTATATTATTTGATCGCGCACTACAAAAAGAGAGGAAATTAATTAAATTCTTTGTTCTTGAATCGTTTTGAAAACAATGGCATCAAACGTATTAATTTTCTTATTATGTATGTGTATAAGCTCCAGTTTAACTTATAAACCAGTTGTTTTAATTCATGGAATAATGACTGGTAGTGGAAGTATGGAGATGATAAGCCGCAGAATTCAGGAGGTGATTTTTATAAATATTGTATTTATACGCTTTTTATTATAAAGAATAGACTATTTTGTTGAATTTAAATTTTTATTTTAAGGTTCTTAAAATTCTTCTTTACTTAAAGATATAATAAGAAAAGATATGATTACTTTAAAAAATCCAAAATTTGTATTTTGGGCAAATTTAAATTGGATTAAAATAATAAATATTTTTATTGAAATGCGTTTTGTATTAAATGCGGCTTCGGTAATTTGTAGCTTTAATATAATATATCTATTGTGTCTATTATTTCAGAAACATCCTGGTACAATAGTGTACAATGTAAACAGATTTGAAAGTTGGTCTAGCTTAGAGACCATGTGGCATCAAGTGTTAGAAATAGGATTGGATGTTGCAAACATTTCTAGTAAACACCCTGAAGGAATTAATCTTATTGGTAAGTATTTTCACACAAATACCCCTTATTAGTTGACTACTGGTATTTGTTTTATTACTTATGATTTTTTTACATTATTATAATTAATTAAACTTTTTTTTAAACGAAAATAAAAGAAAGTTTTCACTAATAATATAACTAAAAATATAATTTAATATGATTTCAGGTTACTCTCAAGGTGGTTTAGTGGCACGAGGCATAGTGCAGACATTCCCCAATATATCCGTCAGCACATTCATATCACTGAGCTCACCGCAAGCTGGACAATATGGAGGTAAATTAATATAATTCTCAATATTGTCTCATTTTTATTTTTAGAGAATATAAATAATTGTTAGATATAACATTCTTATATTATATTATCATCATTCATTCTTATATATATTTTTATATACTTTATAGTTAATATTAATAATTTTTGTGCTAATAAAACTGTCATATGTAAATGTAAAATAATACCTCCCGTTTTTTTATTCAATATATTAGGTTTAAGACTAGCGACTTACCCTCGCTTTGCTTGAACATCCCTGAGTACATTTTGATTTTTTTGAGCAGAACCCTAATTCTTTTTCTAAAATGAAAGTAGCGTAAATTTCTCCCTATAACATCAGCTATATGCCAGCTATCTGCGTTTCGGAGATTAGCCAGTACAAACAAACACACAGACAAACCAACAAAACTTAAAAAAAGAATAGTTTTTCTTATAAGTAGGTACTGTATATAATTTCATATGCATTTAGTAAAAAGCTGTTATTTTGACATTATAAACAGACACTTCAATTTTATTTCTTTGTATAGACTGATTTTTAAAATAAATTGATTTGAAAAATGCCCCTATTACATATTATATTTTCATTTGATAATACTTATTTTCCTTCTAGCCGGTTTCCTGCATGTGGTATTCCCAGGCTTGGTGAAAGAAACAGCGTACGAGTTATTCTATTCTAGAGTGGGTCAACACACTTCTGTAGCCAATTACTGGAAGGATCCATATCATCAAACATTATATGAGTCATATTGTGTGTATCTGCCTTATATCAACAATCATATTCAGTAAGTGTGGGATTTTTATATATCATTTTTTAATCTATATGTACTTAATATTATAAAGAGGTAAAGTTTGTGAGTTTGTGATGTTGTAGGAATCTCTGGATCTACTGAACCGATTTAGATGAGATTTGGTAAGAAGATAGTTTTAGACCCTAGGAAGGACAGGATAGTTTTTATCCCGGTACAATCATCCCTTAAGGAAGTGAAAATGGGGATGAAAGTTTGTATGGGGAATCAATCTAAGGATGAACCCGAGCGAAGCCTCGATACGTTTTAACGGTTAGTGTTGAATAGATGGACTATATATTACGATATATAGTCTATAGCCATCCTCACTAAAGGGGCTATCTAATGCTAAAAGAATTTTTCAAATCTGATTAGTAGTTCCTGAGATTAAACAAACATACAAACAAACTGTGTCTTTTTAATATTAGTATAGATTCTATAGGTTTTTATAAATGAAATCAAAGTTCTGAAATAAATTATTTATGAGTAAAATGTGATATCCATACATACATACGGTATAATATTAAAAATATGAAAGTGTGTGTCTTTGTTTGTCCTTCTATCACGTCGAAACAGAGTGACGGATTATCGTGATTTTTTGTGTGGAGATATTCGGATCGCAGGAGAGTGATATAGGCTACTTTTTACCGCGAGAAATTATCTCATTCCCACGGGAAAATACGTTATAATACAACTCAAAAAAATATTTATGATCAGAATTACTTGAAACTTGGTATTAATGCTCATCAATACAATTAAACAAATAAGTTGTTTAGCATTTTTCAAAATTCATCCCATAACCTACCTATAAAACCTACCTTTCCTTTAAAACAATAAATAAAATAATACGTTTATCAGATTCTTAACGCGAGCGAAGCCGCGGGTTCTGCTAGTATAATATAATATATAGTTTATTTATTATATAATATGTACAGTATATCAATTCCATAGTCCATACTAACTGTTAAAACGTATCTATGGGACGAACCCGAGCAAAGCAAGGGTGACTCTCTAGTTAATAATAAATAATACAAATATTCATTAATTATTTCATATAACCTTGAATAGTCTAAACGAAAATTTCGGCGTTACTCTCAACTGGTTCCATGGTGTAATGGTTAGCACTCTGGACTCTGAATCCAGCGATCCGAGTTCAAATCTCGGTGGAACCTGGCTTTTTTACTATTTCTCTAATAAATATATTTTTTTATTTTATTTCTTTCTTAACTAACATAGTTAATTTATATTTTTTTTTCTTTTTTTTCTTGCTTATTATGTTATAGATTTTTATGCAAAAATATAAAATATAAATTATTTTTCGATATTAAGAACGTCACTTGTAGGCCTTAACCCTTTAGGTCTTAATAAGGTCACAGACAGATAAATAATTTCATTGAACTTAACGATTAAGTCTTAACGTCATTAATCAATATTTTATTATTGTTAAAGATAACACTGACTTTGTAACATTCTTACTTTTTTACACTGAATAGATAAGTAATTGTAATTATTCTCGTACTATGTTTAACTCTTGTTTGTTTCTTCGTGACGCAAATGAGATGATTTTTTTAAGAAAAAAAAAATTAAATTTGATTCTAAGAGCGTAAAAATATCTTATCTATTGCTAATATAATTCGTACTAGCACAGATGTCATAATACTAAATATTAGGTATTAATACCGATATATGAAAAAAATTTATTAATAAATAAATCTAAGAAAGAATTAAAAAAGGTTTTATTTATTTAATAATAATTTATAGCATTTTTTATGAGAAAATTATAACATTAATTTGTTATTGTAGATGATTAATAATTGTAAAAGTTTCTTGAAAACTGTCCGTGAAATGTATGTTTATTGCATAATTTTATGGTCGGAGGTGCGAGAAAAGCTTCGGGCAAAAGCGAGTTTTAAGTCTAAAAAAAATATAAAAGAAATTTAACTATTAAAATATATTCTGATATTAAATTAATATTTTTAGAAATTTAATTTAATAAGTGTCTTTACATTTTTAATTTCAGGTCAGCAAAATCGGATGATTTTAAAAATAATTTACTTCGATTAAAGAGGCTAGTGCTTATTGGAGGACCGGACGATCAAGTTATAACGCCATGGCAGAGCAGGTATCTACACTATAATAATTTAATTTTTATGCATTATGTTATAATATTAAATGAGCACTTCTTGTTTCTTTAACGATTTGGATCAAATTTTGTATATATTTATTTATCCATATTTGTATATATTTGTTTATCCATATAGATATCCTTTTTGAAAAAAAAACGGAACTTTTAGAGCCTTTTTCTGTTTACTCTCATGATTTAATAATCGAAAAATAATATGATATTATTATCATATAGCGCCATCTCGTGAACGTTAGTGGTACTTGCATTGCTGCCAATATATGAACCTACTGGACGAGCGCCAAAGCCGCGTGAAGCGAAAGTCGCCCAAGCACTAGTTATAATTTTATATATTAAGTCTATTTGATAAGTTTTTAAAGTTGTACTTTGAATTTTAAAATAATCTATACATATAATAAAATTCTAACTGAGTCGAATCTGTATATTAAATATTTTTTGGAAAATCTTATTGAATTAGTTACTATTATCGATACAGAGGCCGAATTTAACGTTTTTAGAATTTTTGTCGTGTCTGTCTGTTTGTCTGGGAACTGTTATATATAGGCTATGTACCCCTTTGAGCTTACATAGCTTTTTCCTAACTACTCAGCACATTCTACCATTAGTAATCCAGTCGCCCGTCAATCCACTCAGTCCCCATCCATCCTACATCCACGCCAGTCGGCTATCTCTTTCCATTCAAATTATAATTTTATTCACATCACGAGAAAACCACTGGACAGACTTTTATTAAATTTGGTATGATGATAGCTTGGTTATCCGGGTCAACATATAGGATACTTTTTACTGCGGGAAAATATCTCGGAGAAATCTTATACTAAACGTTAAAACGTAACTAACTATAAGGGGCGAACTCGAGCGGAACGAGTTTGAGTCCATAGTGTATTAAATATAAATAATATTTAGGATATAATAAAATTCAATTTTGTCTAATCAAATCCATTTGTATGTTTGTCTGTCATACCTTAGTACTCAAAGAAGTGATAGATTTAAAAGGTAATGAGACATGCTAAGTAATTTTGGACTAGCAATTTTAAAAGCAACAAAGATGGCGCCTCTAAAATATGAACTTAGATAGATTGAACTTTATATTTTTTCTATCACCGGTGAAAAGTTACAGTTCTAATAGAAATATGCGAGTAAACCCAAACTAAATACTTAGTTTATAATTGTTGTTTTCTTTTTCAGTCAATTCGGCTACTACGGTGCAAACGAAACGGTTATAGGAATGCGTGATCAAGAGATATATTTATCAGACAGAATTGGCCTCAAAACGTTGGATAAAACGAAAAGGCTTCACATTGTAACTGTACCTGGCGTCAATCACTTCAACTGGCACATGAATGTGAGCATTGTTGATGATTATCTGTTGCCATACTTAGATTAGTATTATATATATAATGTATAATAAATACGTATATAAATATACGTATTATAAATACATATATATAATGTATGTATTTATAATACGTATACAGGCTGGATTTTTCAAGTGAATATGGATTTATAATAACTGTAAGGAATACAGGAATTTTTACAAAGAATTAATTATGACATATTCGATTTTTAGGAAAATAGTTTTTTTTAGGCAATTATGCAAATTTTTGTTTTTGAAAAGAAAACAGCCTATATCTAGTAGTATAATTTATTATAAAGATATAATGCTGTATAATAATGATGGCATACGGTAAACCAAATATAAGAGGTCTTTCGTAAGGATATACTGTTTATTTTATTGTTATATGCAAATCGGCATAGCTTTTTGAACTTGTCACATTATATCTAATTTACAAGCTTATTGGCTGATAGAAATAATTTGTAATTAATGTAATTTTACTTTAACGTAATGATTTTTCTCTTTTTAACGAATATTGTTGAGGTAAAACTTCTTTAGACCTGTGACTGAGGGGTAAGTCAATATATTGGAAAAATGAGTGTCGCGTGGAGTCAAATTTATGTTAATAATAATTAAAAAAAATATTAATTAATAATTTTATAATAATTGTTTCTTGTAAAAATATAAATTTATAAATATAATAATTTTATAAAAAATATTATATTTATAAGCCAAAGAAGTTTTACTTTAACCGCGCGTAAAGGTTACACGCACTCATTTTTTTTATTTCATAATTAGTATGAATAGATAAAAACTGTAGTGTAGTTGTATGTATAATAAAATATGTAACTCAGTGTCAAAATATGTATGTGGTTGTTAGAAAACGCTCATATTATGTTAAGTAAGGACAAGGTTGTGGTTTTACATACCATGTAGGTATATGATGTTAGAAAAAAATATCTATTTTTTATACAATTGATCGTTAGTGTCGGGGGCGGACCGTGAATTTAGGGGGCCCAGGGCTAAGACTTCTTGGAGGTTTTAAATCTTTTCGGATTTTTTCGCGGATTCATTTTGATTTTTGGTTTCTGACGTTTCGAATGTTTTACAGTTACTGAAGATTTAAGACGTTTCAAAGGTCCGTAGTTGTTAGACAGTCTGTAAAAATCCGAAAATATAGTTTTACTTAAAATGTCATATTTGCGTAAATCAAAGAAAGGATTACTTTTTGGGGGCCTATACTACTTGTCATTTTGTGTTTATGTAATCTATAATGATAGATAGTACTAGACGAAATTAAGATAACGCTATTGTTTGATTCTTAAATTATTGATCTTAGGCTAACCTTTTTGGGCTTATTTTTTTTTATTTTATTACAAAAATATACATTGTTTTCAACAGGGGGCCCGTTATACCTTAGGGGCCTTGGGCTGCCGCCCAAAAAGCCTATACCTATATATATGTAGTTCCGCCCCTGACTAGTATATAAAATAATTAGTGATAGTATGATCTTTTGAAATATTTTTTTATTGTATGTATGAATATTTTATATAACTTTATATTCTTATGTTTTTATTTATGAGATATTGACATTTATTTGTTTGTAGTAATAATCGTTAGTTTTGTATAATAATCAAGTTTTGGTCTTAAATTGAATGTAAACACTGTGTGATTTAGTTTAGATTAATTGTAATAAAACGTGATATGAGTGCCAAGTGTTAAATGAAGCGGGTTAATATCTTCATTTTTGAATCATTTTCAACATACCAGTTGTGTAACGGTGAAGGAAAACATCGTGAGGAAACCTGCATGTCTGAGAGAATCTAGCAAGTTTTCAAAAGACATGTGAAGTCCGCCCGCACTTGGCCAGCGTGGTGGACTATGGCCTTATCCCCCCGTACTGAAGGGAGGCCCGTGCCCAGCAGTGGGACGGTAAAAAGGGCTGAATGAAAACATGACATGACAGCTTATGAAATTATTTTAGTATTATCTCAAGCTCAAACCAGTAATAATTTTACATAACAATCTCAATATACTCTTATGTATGTATCTCGAGGCTTACATCGGATCTGAATATAAGATTTGAATATTTTCATTTAGTTTTCTAGGAATGTGATAAACTTTTAATAATATATATGTTTATTATTTAAAAATACTCATGTGTACAAAACAATATGACCATAACGCATTTAATATATTTAAATTGTTTTTAGTTATTTGATTCAGAATTAAATGGCGATTTTATTGAAGTAAAACTTCTTTGCGTGACTCTGAGTCAATATATTGGTAAAATTAGTGTCGTGGATGTGAGGGTCAAATTTATTATTAATAATAAAAAAAAATGTTTAATAATTATTATTTATAAATAATATTATATTAATATTTTGATTTGTTTTAATGTAAATGCGATATCTGCCACAGCGCCAAAGAAGTTTTAATTCAACCGCGCGTAAAGGTTATACGCACTCATTTTTTTTATCTGTATGGGACTTTCTAACGCGCTTTTATTAGTTAACTTATTCTGTACTAAAATCTTGAAAGTTCATTTTAAACTACATATAAACATACAATAAATTTGAAGTTTTAATTGTATATATTTATGTCAATATGTATATAGTGAACTTCTTCGTTGTTTTTAAGTTTGGGCTTTGCTCGGGTTCGTCCCTAGGTTGCGTCCCCATACAAATTTTCATCCCCATTTTCACCCCTTTAAAGGATGATTTGCAGGATAAAGACTATCGTATGTCCTTCCCAGGGTCTCAAACTATCTGCTTAGCATCTAAATCGGTCCAGTAGTTTCGGAGCTAATTCGGTACAAACAAACAAACGAACGAAAAAAATCTTTCCTCTTTATAATATAAATAAAGATAACGAGTTCCATATGTTGTTATAATGCTGTAGCTGATAAAAGCGTGTTTATTTTAGTTTTTTAAACTACTTTATAATTAATTGCTTGAGAATATTAGGCCATGGCCGTAAAAACAAACGAGATATTAGTATCTGTTATCTATATAAGGATTTTGTAATAGAGGACAAAAAATACGTAAAACAGAGCTTTTTCTGTAATTTATTTAGTCTTTTTTTGTTTAATGTTACCAGTGTATGATTTTTTTTTACTAATAAGTAGTCAATTTTACAAGTTTTGGTCAGTAATTTATATTTATGATAGCTAAATAGCTCCTATTAAATTGTGATTATGAAATTTGTGTGATTTTGAATATACTTTTTCTAATTGGATTTTTTTTATATTTTTGGAAGAATCTTATTTATACCTTTTCCTTTTAAATCCTTTCATTAATACCACTTACTTTTAAGAGTTTGCAAGTTATACTGGAACATACATTATGTTCGCCATTATGGTGGTTGAAATTCGACCGTAATCATTATTGAAAATTTAATGAAAGCATTATATGAATTGTATTAGCCTACCTATCTATTTATAAAAACACTAGGTTTCCAAATAGTTTTTAATAATAGCACTAAACTAGCTAAAATAACTCATCAATAGCTACTAAACAAAAAGAAAATCGGTTGACAAACAGACGAGAAAAATGTACGGAACTGTTTTGTATATACCTATTTATATATAGATTGAGATTCATTTATAGGGTAAGGCATAGTAATTTAATTTGTTTGTTTGAATGTAATCGCTCTGCAAGTTTCTGTCAGATTTCTTTGTTTTGTCTTTGCTTATTTATATATATTATGTAGATAATGTTAAATGATAGTCTATTAGACTCAAATGTGACTAGCTTTCTGTTGTCTATGACATTGTTTTAGATAGTAAAAATATACAAGTAGTAAAATATCGAAGTGTACTAAAGTATGATCGTACCAGTTTGACAGCTCGTTGACTTATCTATTATCTCTCGAAATATCTACGTCATACGTGATAGCTTTGTTACGTCGGCTAGTGCTTATCTGTTCAAACCACCAATACTTGTTGTATAAAGATTTATATGCATACTAGCATTGCCCGCGGCTCCGCCCGCGTTCAGATGACCAAAAACCAAATTCTTAGGTTTTACATAATATTAGTACACTCTTACAATGCAAATTTTGTATTTTTTCTCAGAAATGAGATATTTTCCCGCAGTAAAAAGTATCCTATATGTTGACTCAGATAGCCAGCTATCATCATACCGAATTTCATCAAAATCTATCCAGTGGTTTTCCCGTGATGCGGTAACAGACAGACAGACAAAAATTCTAAAAACTTTAGATTCGGCCTCTGTATCGATAATACATAATAATGTCTATTTAAGATTTCAAAAGCAAAGCTTAATTTGTATGATTTATATGCATATATAGATAATATACACTAGTCAGTTTTTTAAAGTACTTAAAATGTTAATTTTATATCAATTGAATTGACATTTAAAAATCTCTACCTAATTCTGTATTAAAAACTCTTTACGTAAATTGGTCGTTTGGACAAATAAGCACTGAGATTGCGGTTTAAAGTCTAAATAGATTGTATTTCGATGTATTACTTTTGGCGAGGGGAAACTAACTTCTCAAGGAGAGTTAATGTTATGAAGGAGAAAATAATATGTAGATTATATGTAAATGTAATTCCATACTTTTTACATATTATGATATGTTAAAAGTATGGAATTATTATTTTTTGCAATTGTGACTCATACAAAGGTCACTGCAAAAATAAATTTCGATCTTCAGCTGATTGTGTCTTTCATATTTTATTTTTAATATATGTACGTATATGTAATGTGCCAATGACTTGGAGTTAACTACCTAATTCAATAAAACAATGTTATCAGATTGCATCGTTTTATCGGTATTTCTTCATAAAAAGTTAATGAACGATTGAAATATTGTACAAATTACAATGTACATCCAACCCAACGTGCGTTCACCTTGTACTTTCTTATACATAGAAAATATATTATAAGAAAATTATGAATAGATCTATCTATCTACCTATACATATAATCAAATTCTAACTGAGTCGAATCTGTAGTCTGTATATTAAATATTTTTTGGAAAATCTTATTAAAATTGTCATTGTTATCGATACAGAGGCCGAG